GCCGGGATGCGAGGGTGTCCAGATGCGGGAGGATCACCCAACAGCGCGGACTCATCGGGGCATCGTGTTGAGGACAGAGTGCGCTCTCTTCTCTGGAAATGCAGTGTTTATCGCACAGTAAACAAACAGACGGAAGGAGCAAGCTCACCCTGTGCAGGCCCCTCTCCGCGCCGGGGCACCTGTCCTCCGGCCGTCTGGACTCCAGGCCAGGCCGCCAAGGGTGGTCCCTGCGCCTCCTGAGCCCCCCTCTCCCCGCGCTCCCTCCGCCCCCCCCAACACCTGACGTCAGACCCCACACCTGGCGTCATGCTTCCGGCTTCTAATGCAGAGATGAAAACAGACGGACGGTCACAGCTCTTCAGGGAGTAGCCGCAGCAGGTTCTCTTTTTAAACTCCCCCCCAACCCCCACCCCGCGCCGTGAGGAGCCGGTCAGCTTGGGAAGCGGAGCCGCGTCAGAGCCCGGCCTGGGCGCGGTGTCCCCCACGGCGGGCCTGTGCCCGTCGGGAGTCGGGTGGCTCGTGTACGGACAGTGGGGTACACGGGAGTTTGGAAAGCATCTGCTCCCTCTTGGTTTGTTAGTGGAAAACCCTTCTTATCTGGTGGGAAGAGTAGGGTCCCCCCGGAGCTTTGCCTGGGGGGAAGGGACTGGATTGGAGGGCTTCCTTCGCAGCAGCTGCACGGCCTGCTCGCGCGATGCTCACTTTAAGCATCTTACCGTGTTACCTGCCTGTGACACCTCGATAAAGCCAGAATAAATGCAGAGGCGATCAGTCAGTCCGTGAACCTAGCAGACACCCGATACATGGAAGGAATTCACAGCCCCGCCTCGCCGTTTCTCTCCTCTCCTCTCGCTTGGGCCTGCTTTGTCCTGTGATGTTTCCGTCTGCTTCTGGTCTCCCCTTTAGTTGTCGTTTTACTACTTTGTATGGCTTTAAAGGTTGTCTGCTTTCCCTGTTGCATTTACTATCTTGCTAATTTTTTTACTCTCAAAGAATCTCTTTGTTCATAAATCTGGGATATGCTATTTTCCGTATATTTATTAAAGCAAATGTAATTTTTAAAAGAAATACTTATTTTATTGATTTCAGAGAGGAAGGAGGTGGAGAGAGGGTTATCAGTGATAAGAGAGAATCAGTGACCGGCTGCCTCCTGTACGCCCCGCACTGGGGATCGAGCCCGCAACCCGTGCTCTGACCGGGAATCAATCCCGGGACCCTTCAGTCCACAGGCTGACACTCTGTCCACTGAGCCACACCGGCTGGGGCGTAAGTGTAATGTCTAACCCGCGGCTCACATGCGCTGTTGGGTAAGTGACACTGAGCAGACTATGTGCCCAAAACCGTAAAACTAGGAAGAAGCAGGGTCCAGACCAAAACCCAGACTTCCTAACTGGAAACATCAAGTTCTTTGCACAAAACTCACACATCGCTTGCTTGTTTGCGCTCCGGTTGCTCAGACTTTGCCAAAAACCTTTGGCGGCCCTGTCGGCGCGGATGAGGTCTGCGTGCTGATCGGCGGGGCCCAGAGGTGAGAGACCGCAGGCCCAGGGGGTCCCCATGCCGGCTAAACTCAGCCCCAAGAGAGTCGTCGGTCACGGCTGGACTCTATCCCTTGTATATAGTCCCGGGGAACCGGTTCCTCACCGGGGCCTGGGCGGGCCTGGGGTCC